GCGCGCGGAATAAAGTTTTGTTTACTATAAAGTATATCAAGTATGGTCTAGTCACGAGACTAGTGATTAGGATACCTAGATCCTAATATGACAAGGGTTTTTTTTTTAACTTTTTCCCTGAAAATTTATTGATATAAAATTTAAATTATAAATGTTGTTAATATTAATATGACATGTGTTTTAAATATCTCATCCAAGAGGCTCTGGTACCGGAATACTTTTTTTAAAATGAATATTTTGAAATAAAATTTAAAAAAAATTGAAAATAGTTAAACATTACTTAACAGGAACACAAATTTTAAAAACCGAAAAGTAAATTTAATATTTTTTACGGTAGGTATACTGTGGTAGTTCTTAAAAAAAGTTTAAAATCGGTCCAAGTTGAACTTTACTTACGATTATATTTCAAACCCATTTCTCAAAAAAACTAAATAAACCTTTTATGTAGATCAGGTTATTTCCAACAAAAATTTATATGTAGGTACTAGTAGTACCGTACTACTCATTTCAAAATCCTAAATATTGTGCGATATTTTTTTCCAAAACTTTTTAAACTTTGACTAAGATATATTTTTAATGGCTATGTTTACGAAAAACAGGAGGATACTTTTTTGTAGTGCATTTAATTTCCTATCAAAATTAATTAGGCGTAAGCTTAGCTATTATCTATTTGTTGGTGAGATATATTAGTTTTATTTCAGACACATGTAAAAATGGAAAATTACGGTGAAGAGTATCTTACTACTAAAATTAAGAGCTTATACGTAGATAGGCTTTTTTGAGGTGCCCAGCAACTAATTATTAGATATGGGTCATTTTCAAGAAACACCCGCTTTCAAGAAAAGACAGGCAGTGGACTTTTTAATTTTTTTTTTGTTTTTTTTAGAAAAATGTGTTTAGCTATAGCTTTATATATCTCCACTGTGTTACCAATTTGAAATCCAAAATTTAATTCAATAAAAAAAATTGTTATAAAAATAATTTGAAATAAAATGTACTTATAAGTATAACTAGTTCACAAACTTTTGACTCCAATTTTTTATTGTATTTTTTATTAAAAATTGTACGCCTTTTTTAAATATTTATGTTAGTTAAGTTACTTTTTAAAAGAAACCATTCCGATTCTTTGTTAAACTCTAATTTATAAACAGGTATGTATTACCAAGTGATAGTAAAATCATTTTAAGGATTTTAACAAAAACTAAAAAAAGTAATGAAATAGACATTGGTATCACAACGGACTGGGGTACACAAAACTATATAGCGTGGTACGATTTTAGAGTAATGCATAAACAAAATCCCGTGTAGTGGTGCTTACTTGCAAAATAACAACTTAGATTATTAAATTATAGACACCCTTTTTCTTTGACTATAAGCTGGTGAAGGTCTTTCGTCCCTTTAAGTACTTGTATATTGGTGGAATTTTCCCTTGGATGTAATCTATATCATGAGGTGTAAACACAAATAATTTTAAATTGGTTTATCATAAATTACTTTTAATGAAAGCGACGGTAAATATCCACTTTGTTGTCGAAAAATTCTATTGCGTTACCCTAAATTCCATTGCGTTACCATAAGGTAACGTAATGGACTCGGTAACGCAGTGGAAAAAGTTTTGTGAAACCATATTTAAAAAATAATAATGAGACATTAAACATAAACATGAACAATAGGTAGTATTTTTTCTTACCTTATTTTTATTATTTTTTTTGAGTAACTTAGCGGACAAACAATTATTACAATCGCGTTACCCGCACCTGTTTCAACCGATATCTTCTTCCTGATTGAATAAATAAACTGAGCTGGGTAATGTGTACGTCCGAACATCATTTGTTGATCACGTGAGTGCCAAAAAGTTGCCATATATATGTTTTTTTAAATATTCTATCGGTAACGGGACGGACGTAACGCAACGGAAAAAATGTCTGGGACATGAGTCAAATTTAGAAAAAGTAGATTAAAATTAATTAATTTATATATAAATTTTTTACTGTATTAACTAAGGATATTATGGATTGGTATGAAGTAACACAAAGTTCTGGTTATTCAAAAAAACATGTATGTAAGTTTTATAAAACGCTAATGGGACGTGCGAAAATGCGTGTTTCACAAGTTTCAAAATTAAAAAAAATTATTCTGAAATAAATAAACAAACATTTTTTGAAAGAGTTTAGTATGGGCTTGTTAGGCTTTCACTTGGTTTTTAAATCAATAAGATCCGATAATTTTTAACAAAGTTATTGGAATTCAAACTTACGGACAGCGCGCTGCAGCGGAAGGCGGGTGTTTTTTGAAAACGACCCATATCAGATGTTAAAAAAAATATTTTCTATATATATATATATATATATATATATTGTAGATTTTTTTAATTATGCTTATCAGCCTATTGTCTAATTTTACTGGTCTTAATCTGTTGAATCCTATAAGCGATTGCATATTCCCTAGTTTTTTTAGTAAGTTTTTTAAAATTTGAGCTATGACAATGATAAAAAAGAGGGCTTAAAATATCATCTTGTTCAGTTGCGTAATGCGGGGGTGACAATTACCAGAATTGCCCAGAATTTTGAAGTAAAAATATCAATAATTTACAAACAATTGTAAAATAAAATCAATCAGTTATGTGTAAATAATATCTACTTTACAAATGTTTTGGATATTAATTAAAGTAATTTATTAAGCTTAATGCAACGCGAGTTACCAAACTTTTTGTTGTTTATTTTTAAAACCAAATGTATGAAAAAACATTAATATTTGTATAATGGATAACGCTTATCGAAAAGGAACCAAGCGCCAAAAACTTTTTCTGGGCTTATTAAAATTATTTGTAAAATAACTCATTTTTAATAATGTTCAAAAGGATGATCATGATTTGGATCTTTTCTCAAAAGGATTGAGAGGGTTCCCAAATCATTATTAATTTTTTGAGCAGCATTAAAAATGATTTATTTTGCAAATAATTTTGTTTACCCCATGGTTCCTGCAGAAAAAGTTTTTGGCTCTCTTCCTTTTTAATAAACGCTATTTAAATTTAATTTCTTTATGTTTAACGTTGATATATTTTTGTTAATTAAAAGTAGTTTCATTGTTAAATAAGCAAATAATAATAAAAAGTTTATAGAAAGGTAAATAAAAGTTTTTAAATAAAATGTTTGATATTGGTTAAACTTTTAGAATTAATTATTGTCGTTTTACTGCCAAATAATATATCTGATTGTAACGCGAGTTACCATGGAATGTCCCTGCTAGTTTTTTTTTTAATTTACCGGTGGAGGACCAGGGGGGTCTTACACCTGGGACTATTTCATACCTCTCAGACCCCCAGTACACCTTGCCACCCCAGTTAAAAAGCTGAAATTACGCCCATGCCCTCCAAGATTTATGTCGAATTTATCACTCTTCTCTGTTTAATTGTACTATTTTGAATAATTTTCTTAGGTAAACAAATTAAAGTTATAACCAAAAACTTTGATAAAATTGAAAATGTGTTCCATGGTTTAATTATCCACTAAGAGTAAAAGCATTACCCTTTTTATGCAAATTATGATCTGCAGAATTATATTTCGTTAGACACTGAAATACCTCAGTAGGTACTATTCTATGCCTATAAGGCATATACTGCAGTAAAATTATAACAAATTTATTTTTTTGCCTATAGGTATTCTGCTTAGATTATATACGAGTCATTACAAAAAATGCCTCGATAATTTTTTGATTGCCTCATATTTACTTAAAGAGTTCTGATTATGTTTTATGTGAAACATAGTTTTATATAAACTATTTCTGCTCTTGTTTAAAAAAAATTAAAGTTATTTATGTATTTTTTGGGAGTAATTTTTTTATATTTTTCAAATTATGCCGTTTTGGGTTTCAACAGCATTTTTAAATTAAATTGTTTAATGTAAATTTGATCACATTTTTTTATTGGAGATTTGGTATGGAATGGATAAAATGGATGGAATAGGGAAATTAAATCTTTTATGTGCAAATGTTATTAATACAGGAATGTACAATGAAAATTATAAACTAATACTTTTAATTTTTTGTGTTAAATTATAATTGCCTGTGAAAATGTAAAAAATAAGGCATTGAGATTGCTTAAAGAATTCTTAAATCAAGGCTATAATGTGGTAAATGAAAAAAATGTTTGCTATTATTATATTACCCGATGTGGCGTAAATAAAAATTGCAATAAAAAGGACAAATAAAAATAAAAATACTTTTACTATTATAATTTATGGTTGATGTGTTTTTTAGATGGCAAGACCAAAAGATTTTCTGTGTAAATAAATGCAGAAAAAAGTACGCCAAACATTTTTTGAGGATTTCAAAACAAACATCCAGAGGAAGCATCTTAACCAGTGCTTAGTCGTTTTTGCTACACATTTTAAAAATTATTTTTAAGATTCTTCATAAAAGCCTGGTTTTCATATAAAAAATAAAACTTTTTATTACTATTGTTTCTGAAATATTCGCATTTAAAACGTTATCATCAAATATTTTTTTAAACTGTTACAAATCAAGAAGTCTCAAAATAACAAAATGTTTATTAAAAATAAATAACTATAGTGACATTATGTCAATATGTCTTATTAAGTAAGTAAAAATAGCGTACTCAGATAAAGAAAGACAAAATATTTTAACTTTATCTTAATAATTTAAATATTTCAGAAACGATTGAATTTAGGTAAATACTATGTTATATGAATTATGCTTAGAATTTTACAAGGAATCGAAAAAAAAATGCATATATAGGGTGATTCATTGAGAAAAAATAAACGTTTTGTTTTTCCCTGTATACTGATAAATTTTTTATACGTAGAAAAAAAGTATTTTTTAGTACATACATAACCACACTTTTAAAAGTCCTAAATTATAAATTTAATTTAAGTTTTACCCAAATTGTTGGTTGAAAAACATGAATCCTTATTAAGTTTTAAAATTAACTATAATACAACATTTATAAACTTAAATTAAAATGTTTTCTTCTTTTTCTTCAGGTTGGTGCTTATTGCTATGCAGAACTAGGCACCATGATAAGAAAAAGTGGCGCCGACTACGCCTATATCATGGAGACATTCGGGCCCTTCGTCGCCTTCATCCGGCTCTGGATTGAGTGCATGATAGTCCGGCCCTGCTCGCAGGCCATCGTTGCTCTTACCTTCAGCCAATACGTGATGAAACCGTTTTTTCCTGAATGTGAACCCCCAGATGACGCGGCCAGACTGCTTGCTGTCTGGTGCATATGTAAGTAAAAAACCTTTTGATAAAATTAACATCCCATATTAAAAATGAAAAATAAGCTTTAAATCACAAAAATTTTTTTTGAAAAAGTATAAAATAATGTAATTTACTACTATGTTGTACTTTTAATAAACTTGTCACTTTAAAATCTGTGGGAAAAAGTCATAAGGGGATAAGTCAAAAAAAGCAATTTTTCAAGAGAGCCTTTAACGTGTTCGCATTAATTCAGGAAATATATTTATGGTTAGCGGGTATACGCTTTTGTTAGTATATGCCATGGGCTAACAAAAGGGTATACCCGCTAACCATAAATATGTTTCCTGAATTAATGCGAATACGTTTAAGGATCTACTGAAAAATTGCTTTTTTTGACTTATCCCCTTATGCCTTTTACCCACAGAAATGTTCAATGACTATGCTGTTAAAAAAATTGAAAATTTTGGTTGTGAAGAAATAAATATTCCGCATATACGCTAAAGAAGTATCGGGTTTTCGAAACGCGCGCGCCATCTGGTGGACTTCGAATGCATTGCGTGAATTTAAGAATTGTCAACAATACATTTAAAGCACAGATTATACATCATTTTTAAATAAATAGGTAGTTTTTTTTACAAAAGAGAGGAAGGCAGAAGTCTTACTCGACAAATTTTGTTCAATTGCACAGCTAAATCGCACACGTTATTTGTGTTTTTCGTTGCAAGGAAAAAATTAAAAAACTTTTTTAGTAGGTACTCGATTTTGATTATTATTATTATTATTATGATTAAAAAACTCAAAGCTTAAATGCTTATATAGTTACGTTAGTGTGTGTATTTTATCAAAGGGATCATGGTGAATTATTGTTTTTTTAATTGTAAATAAAATTCAAGAACTAAATCGTTGCAATTTCATGTTTTTCCAAAGGATCCATTTCGGTAAGGACATTTGTTGGTGCAGAATTAACTAATGATAACTTTACCTAATATAATTTATATTTAAGTTTGGACATTTTTAAGAAATTAGTAAAAAATAATGTTTGCACAAACATAACCTTAAAATCAACCATTTTTATGTTTGAGTTCTCTAAAAAAACTCCGACAACTGCATTTTAAACAACAAAAAATACCTACGAATTCATGGCAACATAATATTATATAATTCATAATGTAATGTAATGGTATTTTACCGTTGAATGGAGACTTATTTGTTTGACGATTTTTACTGAATTGAAATGTTTACACTTTTCACGTTAATCACTACTAAAATGTGTATTTATTGTATCTAATAGTTACAATTTATATTTACAGCGACTGTATGCAATTTATTTTTTCATTCAGATTAACACTGTTTATTGGAAAACCGGTAAAACTCAACACCCAACAACACAACAAATCGAGCCACGGTTTTTGTTTCAATATTTTTTTAGCATTTTTCGGCTTTATTCTCAAAACCACTCGTTTGTAACATAAGCGTTTGACAGCTGATTATTAAAAGTTATACTTTTGTTACGATGATAACAACCGAGTGGTGGCGCTACTAGCGATACTTCTTTAGCGTATTGGGGCTGCCACTATATTGGGTATAGTATGACGTCACTCACCTCATCCTTTTCTACTCGTCAAACCCTTTCATTTCATTCAAGAAGGTTGTGAAGAAATTGGTAATTTGTTTTTAGGGCTGCAAAAATATTATATTTAGTCACTGTCACTGTTTTCAAATATGAATAAAAAGTTTTTATTAAAAACTACATTTACCTAACCAACATTAGCAATACATACGTACATATTGATTATAATTTTGAAATGTCAATAAAATGTACCAATACTGTTATTAATAAATAAATATACGTTATAACGTAGATACTTAAAATCGATAGAAACCAAATTGGAATAAAATCCGATTTTACAGCAATATTATGTTTTTATAAATTACGGATTAATTTTACTTACATTTTTTATTTAAGCAGTGATATAATTCTTAGGTTTAATTTAATAGTTATTTAATTTTAAGATAAAATTTATGAAATATAATAGTTCTTAAATTGAAAAACATTTTTTAAGTTACTTAATGAGACGGAACTTTTCTTGTGGGATTCATTTAAGTATAGTATCACTGAATAGTTGTTTTGTAAAATTTACAATATAAGATGGCACCAACTTGATTAATAATTATTATAACATTATAATGTATACCTGAAATGTTAAAATCGATCCACAACCGTTTTCCATAAAATATGTACAGTATATTGGGTTTTACCTTAAACCACTTTAATTAATCTTAATAAATTATTATAATTAAAAATAAATTTATTTTAAGCTTACTGGGTTTTTGAAAAATAAAGCCTATTTGCACAATGAAGACAAATCTAATTGATCCCAAGAGAAAGAAAGGAAATCCTTTTATAGAAATCCGCTTCAACTAATTAAACTTTTCTCCAAGTATCTACTGTATTGCTCAATTTTCAAAGAAAGCAGAGCACATTTTTTAGATTATTTTAAACTAAGATATCTTTATCACAAATTCTTACTCTCAAATTATATTGTTAAATAACAATAAAATGTTGTTGTGCTCACGACACATGTTATTAAATAATTATGTATTTATTTTGTACGTAAAATACATGTTTGAAAGTTAACCATCGAGCTTACAATTTGTTTCAATAAAGATAAGTACCTAATAACGATTAATGGTTATTATACACGAAGGATAGTTACCTACTTAATAATAATATTATTTTTAATATAGTTTATAAGTATTATTAAGTTGTAATTACACAATGTAATAAAACTGTATTAAAAATTATTAGATCCACTACCTTTATCCACTAAGACTTAAATTGATTGTAAAAAGTAAACCAACATATGAATATGGCTGAAATTTTCACAGCAGTCTACCGACAAATTGGACTTATTCAGGCCAATTCACTAACATGAGTCGTTAACGTTAGCCACTTGAATCAGTGGTTATCGGCCGATCCGACCAATCAGGCCGATTAAATACACTCACAGGCAAAATAATCGATCCCCACAAATTTTCGATGAATTTTAATCCCAAATAACTTTTTTATTTGATGTCGGATTTAAAGAAATATTAGAATAATGTAGATAAATTAATGGAGAATCGCACATTTTAAAAATTTACTAAAAAATAGACGTACGTTTATAATATACAGGTTTAAACAAAAAGATGTTTTTACCATAAGTTTAAGACACTTTGTAGAGTGGCAAAACCGTATATTGTTCTAAATTACTTTTTAATTATCAAGTCCCATCTATTCTTAACAGTTTTGTTTTTGGTTCACCTCAATATATTTATTTTTGTGAAAAATATGGATTTTTTAAAAAAACATTGCAATTTCCAATATTTTTTCTGTACGAAGAACTAAGGTTCTATGGTCCATCCATAGCCTATGGAGAATGACAGTGAGAGTTTTGTTGAATCATCCCATACTTGTACATGTCATATACGGCTTTCAAAAGCTATCAAATTGTTTTTTGTAAATTAATGTGTTCCTCTGAGGTGTTCTTACTTTTAAAAAGGGATATGTCTCCGACTGATGTTGCCATTGCTTTAATTCAGGATGGACGGTCACAATATTACGTGGAAAGTGCTTTAAACGCCACAAGAAGTAGAGTACAAAGGGCTGTAAATCGATTTAATCAGCATGGTGAGTATAATCACCATGCTGATTAAGTAGAAGGAGTCAATGTGGTAGGAAGAGGTGTACGAATGAACGAGATGATCGCTTTATTTGACTTAATGTTATACATGACCAAAGAGTAACTTCTGTGGAGGTAAAAAACAGATTGGGGGACGAACGACAGGCCCAAGTAAGCGAGATAACGATAAGAAGAAGGTTATCTGACTGGATTACACGCATGCAAAAAGACCTGCAACCGCACCTGAGTTGCTAAGAAACCACAGGGTTGAACGCCTTAGATTTGCTAGGGAACATCAAAATTCGAGCATTGATGAGAGGAAAAAATATTTACCAACGAAGCTAGGTTTTGTTTAAAAACACCAGACTGTCGTCAAAGAATATATAGGAAAACAGGAGAACGTTTTAAGCAAAACCATTTTTTGCCTATGGAGGAGGCTTAATTTACAAAAAACAATTTGATAGCTTTTGAAAGCCGTATATGTCATGTCCAAGTATGGGAACAAAACTGTCACTGTCATCCTCCACAGGCTATGGGTGGCAACCTTAGTTCTTCGCACAAAAATAAATATATCGAGGTGAACCAAAAACAACTGTTAAGAATAGACGTGACTTAATAATTAAAATCTAATTTAGAACATATACGGTTTTGACACTCTACAGAGTGTCTTAAACTTATGGTAAAAAAACATATTTTTGTTTAAACCTGTATATTATAAATGTACGTCTATTTTTTAGTAAATTTTTAAAATGTAAGCTATTCTCCATTAATTTATCTACAATATTCTTCAATATTTGTTTAAATCCGAAATTAAATAAAAAAGTTATTTGCGATGGAAATTCATCGAAAATTTTTGTGGATCGATTATTTTGCCTGAGAGTGTATAACGATCACCACTAATGCTAGTGGTTAACGTTAACGACTCATGTTAGTGAATTGGCCTGAATATGTAGAAACAATTGTTTAAACAGTTTAAATTAAACTTGCTTTTCTAGAGTAGTAGGGATACATCCCTACAATTCTACATACTCACAACGTGAATAAAACATCCGTTATTTTGTCAGGTTTTTTACTGTTTTTTATCAATATTTTTTGCATTTTTTCAAACTTTCTTTTGAATAGTTTTGACCTTATAGCCCCCTTTTCGCAAAAATATTAAATTTATATTTAACAGTAAGTATTTAAATTTAAATTAAAAACTTAAGTAAAACTTGTAAACTGTTGACTTAAAAAAAAGCAAATTTTTTGTGTTTTCCAGAAAATACGTCTTAAGTCCAATCTCTTAAATTAAGATTTAAAGAGATACATATCGCGTATGCCAAATTAAGTCAAAAAAATTTAAAATGTTGTCAAAACGATTAATGGTTTCATAATTAAATGAAAAATAACGTTTTTACACATTTTATTTTTAAGTGTCAAAAACAATTAAAATTTGTAAAATATTTAAAAATTAAATCAAATTATTTCTTTGCAAAACACTTAATTTCATAGGTAATCAACCTTTGAGCCAATAAGATACTTTACTGTCGGGTCGAGTTTTATTCAAGCAAACGAAAAAAACTCCAGTTCTTAATTATTGTTAAGAGCTCAAAATTGGACTTTTGGATATTTTTTACACACGAGTAAAACAGGATTAGAGCAGATATCAATGCTATAGCATAATAAGTATGAAGTAAAAAAATGAAAACCACAAAAAACTTTGCTTTTATGTTTTTTTCTCTAAATAAAAATCGTTTTTTAATATAACAGTAGTAACAATCTACCCCATACAGATGGTTACAAACGTGAAAAATCAATCAAGTCGTGCTCTTTTACACATGTTGCTTGACTTATTGCAAAATTATAGATTTTATGCCACAAATTTTATTAAAAATATTGTTTTTTTACAAAAAAAAAGTTATAAATTAACCTAGTATTTTTCCATTGCCATTTTTAAACAGACTGTATATTATATTAATTAATACATTTTTTTATCTAGGTGTTTTAACTTTTGTAAACTGCTATGATGTAAAATTGGCAACATGGGTCCAAGACGTTTTTACCTACGCCAAATTATTGGCATTATTTATCATCATTGGAGCTGGAATTTACCAACTAGGACAGGGTAAAATATTAAATATTAGATTATTAATTTTTGCATATTTTAAAATTATCTTTTGATTTTTATTAGTAACTTGGGTGAAGGATTTTTAATTTTCCAATTTCCAAATGCTCTATCGTATAAAGGTTTCAACCAATTTTAAATAATATAAGTCTTTATTTTATTGTATAGTAAAATGAAACTGGACAATTGAAAATAGTCTACGTATATTTAAATTTGCGTTTATTGTATAGTAAAATGAAACTGAACAAATTGAAAATAGTCTGCGTATATTCAAATTTGCGTTTATTGTATTTTATTGAAAGTATTGTATTTCAGTTAACAACTTGCTTTCGTTAATATTTTTTTATTTTTCAAGGAAAATTAAAAATCAAACAGTCAAGATGAAGTTTTTATTAACAATATATGAGTGAGTTTTACAAAAAGTCCTTCAAATTTAAATAAGGTTTCTAAAATAATATTTAAAATTTCAATTTGATACACAGAGTGTCATGTAATAAGTTGTCATCCCTTGGGGGAATTATATATCCTGTGTTAGTTCACGCCAAAGTAAGCAAGTTTTTCCTCTATTACTTTTGCGTTAGTGCTACTGTTTTTAAATAAAAAAAAATGGAAATAAACTTAATTCTTAGGCATTTCATGGGCTGCCACTGGTCAGCAACAGCGGTCTAAGAAGTATAGTCAGTACACTGTTTAAAATATCTGTGGTGTAATGCTGGATTTATGCAGCACAAATTAACATTAAGTTAACATTAAGATTAAGATTAACATTAACATTAAGAAGTTAAATGAACGTAATCCATTGGAAGCTTTTATGCAACACATTAACATTAACTTTAGCATTAAGTTAACATTAAGAGATGGCCAACTTTTATCTTCTTAATGATAATGTTAATTTTTATTCCTCCTGCGCAGGTTTGCGGCGCAATTTTTAAATAAACCGTGTCAGTAATGCCAACATACCCGAAAATAAATGAAACTTACTGCTGAATGATTGATTTTTTATTCAATGATTGTGTTCTTTGGTTTATTGTTTGACGTGGAGTTTATAGTTTTCATTTATTTTACTTAACAGATGCTAAAACGGGATTAAAACAAAATTCAAACAAACCAAAAATGTCAGATGTCAAAATTACTTTAGCTTATACGCATCCTTAATTTGCTACTAATTTTGCTGCATAAATACCCTCCTATTAATGTTAAATTAATCTTAATGTTAATGTTAAAGTTAATCTTAATGTTAATTTGTGCTGCATAAATCCACCATAAAAATCTTAAAATGGTGTCAAAATCCAACACCAAGTGGTGTTAATATAAACTCCATGAATTATGGTTGAAATTGTTGTATACAGCAAACACCAAAACGGTGTAAAAAATATGTGAGAAGTACACAGAAAAAAAGGAATAGTTCATTTAACTATATTAATTTAGTTGACCCATAAGTATTTATTTAAATAAACTGTGTTAAGGTTAATATAAACAAAGATTAGTTTGACGGTACTAAATCAGATAGTTATTTTATTTTTTTAAATTGGTTAAATTAACCCAGAAAACTTTAGTGAAACCAACCCGCTGTATGGTTCCGTTTACTAAATATGTTGTTTGTAAAATAAGAGTTACTTCAACCTAAAGCACTCTGTTAAAACGATTAAAACAATTTGCCGTGCATTCATGGTTGCATAGTGTTTACCGATCGCGGCAAAGGTGGTGAGGATCACGTGAAGTTCTTAAATCTCGCCTCTGTTGACTTACATGAAGAGTATATAAGCTCAGGTCGTCCTTTGATTTGGTGTGACACTACAAGTTGTTCGATACTAAAGAGACCTTAAATAGGTGGAAACAGCTGTCAATACTTGAAGTATTTTAAGTTGGTGGAACGCACTAAAAACATTATCTCTAGCGAGTTGAAGGTTCAATTTTCTGGAATAATACCACTGGTAATATAGTTGTAATGCGTCAAGGAACTTCCTGTTTCCTTTTTGTCTGTGTAGTATGATTTAATTTGACCAAAAACACATAATATTTAACACTGAAAAGGAGTTCAATTTAGGTAAAATTTATTTTAATACTGAAAGTTAAATTTACACCATTTTAGTATTTGAATTTACACTGGACCAACGAACCATATTTAACACCATTTTGGTTTGTATCGATATAGACCATGTATGGTGTTAAAATGGTCATGAAATTTTGAACAGTGTATAGTGAGGAAAAACTTGCGACGATTACGACAGCTTCATAAAAGCTCTCCCATCAATTACCATCCATTAAATTTGACGTTCTTTGTGTAAAGTGGATGTGAAAGCTAGCTAAAAGTAATTTAGAAAAACCCTTCTCTGCGACAGATTTGCACTTATTGCAGGTCACACGGAGCACTTTTCATTCATCAACACAAAGAGTGAAGTTACATCTCTGGCTTTATCATTCTATTCCGGCCTGTTCGCCTACAATGGCTGGTGAGAAACGAAACCAAAAATCTAAATGCGACCGCAAGATTCCGGTGAACACAATAGATTTCGCTGTTGTTTTTTATTATGAAATTTTATGTTTTTGTTTTAATACTAAGTTCGTTTTTCTTATTTAAAAAAAATTGATTGTTTCATTTCATGACGATTTTAACAATAAAAAAATGTTACCTAAAAAATTATTAATTTTGGTTTTTAATAAAACCCATAAATTCAGTAAAAATCGAAACAAGACTAACTTTAGTTCTAAATATTATTTTTAAGATAACATTTTACTTTTAAAAGGGAGTAAAATTCCTTTGAAGTTTTAAAGCATAACATTTAATAACAATATAATTTAATATATCTTCGGGTTTCTGCAAAACCAGATAACTCCAAAAATGCAGTTTTAAGTAAAGATTTCTGAAGTTTGGGAGACGCTTAAAAATCCACTTTGAAAAGAAAAGCTTTAGGTATTGGTCTTTCTCTTCGCTTTCCATGTAACTGTCTTTAATAAAAGGTTCTGGAATGATGTCTTCTATGTCTAATAGTATATTGGTGGAACTCTAATAGATCTTGTTTCTTTATAAAACTAATTGGGCGAACCTTCGTGTAGGCTTTAATTACCTTCATGTCAGTTATTTTAGATGGACGACCTTTCCTTTTGCCAACACAAAAATCTCCTTGTATTCAGATGTGTGATCATATCGATATAGAAGCATATTTTATGTATAGTATAGTATGGTGTACACGGGAACGTGCTTTTTTCATAGGACTATGCATACTATCTACTTCCATATAACTATGTGCAATTTCGAGGAACTTTTGCTCTATAACCATTATATTCGGGTTTTTCTGAACACGGCACATTGCACTAACATTTTGATTTCGATTTTGACCACTAAAAGTGTTTGAGCAAAATGTCAAAAACCTTATACACGTGAATACTAACGCATATCAGGCCAACACAATAATTTAAACGAAATATATAGGCATAAGTAAAACATTTATATACCTTGATTAAAAAGGTTTAGCTCCAATTTAAAATAATTTAAAATTACATACGTATATGCCGAGTTATGCATGATATAACCAATAGATAAGGCAAGTTTTGAAACGATAGTCAATTTGTAAATGCATTTTAAATGGAAGGTGAGTTTTAGAATATTATGAACTTTTCATGGTATAGGGGGATAAATGTTAAATGTACAGTAGACTGGGCCAAAAAAATTGACTATTTTTTTTTTGAAAAATATATCGAGAATGTCATTTAGAATGACAAAAAAAAAATTTCGTGAAAATTTGAGCCCTTAATATTAATTTTAAGAGGTCTATCATCGCTATTTTTGATTTTTAGTCATAATTTGATGTTTTACGCTAGAACTGTCAAAACATTAAAGTGAAAAAAATTCCTTTTCAGTTATTTTTATATAAAATTAAATTCTCTACAAAAAAGGTCTGATTGAAAATTTTCGTCAGACGAGCTGTTTCCGAGTAATTGAGCTCAATAAATCGATGTGTTTTTTCGATTTGCCCTTTTTACTTTGAAATTTTGTAACTATTGAATCAATGAATATTTAAAAAAGCTCACGTCGGATTCTTAAAAGAAATTTAATGGTCTACAAAAAAGGTCTCTTAACATTTTTGCCTAAATTTAATTCTTCAAAAGTTATTCACGATTAAAATTGAAGAAAAACTTAAAATTTCAATTTTTTTTTCGTGAATAACTTTTGAAGAATTAAATTTAGGCAAAAATGTTAAGAGACCTTTTTTGTAGACCATTAAATTTCTTTTAAGAATCCGACGTGAGCTTTTTTAAATATTCATTGATTCATTAGTTACAAAATTTCAAAGTAAAAAGGGCAAATCGAAAAAACATATCGATTTATTAAGCTCAATTACTCGGAAACGGCTCGTCTGACGAAAATTTTCAATCAGACCTTTTTTGTAGAGAATTTAATTTTATATAAAAACAAATGAAAAGGATTTTTTTCACTTTAATGTTTTGACAGTTCTAACGTAAAACATCAAATTATGACTAAAAATCAAAAATAGCGATGATAGACCTCTTAAAATTAATATTAAGGGCTCAAATTTTCACAAAATTTTGTTTTTGTCATTCTGAATGACATTCTCGATATATTTTTCAAAAAAAAAAAATAGTAATTTTTTTTGGCCCAGTCTAATGTACAGACACCACTAACTCATTTTTATTAAAAAGTGGATAAGCCAAATTTGGAATGGACCTCCTCAAGTATCAGAAAATAGAGCCACTTCTAAAACTGTGCTACGAAGCTGATTTGCCATCTTTTGCCATTTAGTTCTGTCCATGAATAACAAAAAGCATTATTTGGTGGCGCTAATTCATATTCGCTAATTCATATACGGTAAGATTTTATAGTATAGTATACAGGTATATATATATATATATATATATAGGTATACCTACATCATGTAGGCTACATGGGACTTACGTCGCTAGTAAGAATTTGTAACACGCATTATAGATCAAACGTACACAAATAAAATTATTTTCTTTCAAAGACCTTTCCTTATCTCTTACTTTTGCAGCGTCTTTTCTAGCAATGTGATCCTGATATTTATTATTCAGTTCTGCCAGTTTCTCTGAACCGTCAGATTTGACATTGATCTTTTTTTTGTTTGAAAAAAGAATAGTTGTAATTTTGACAAAATATTTTCCAGGATGTTATAAGTGATGACTTACATGAATCTTTTATATAAATGTCTTTATAGAGAGAATGCATGTTGGCAATAGCAATCTAAGTATTGTAGTTTAGTACTTTTACTGGAGTAATGCGACTCTAAGACTGGAAAGCTTTCAATGTGCCTTTTAACTTTTTCTATATCTTCAGATTTTGTTTTATTGAAGAACCACTTTCTTGCCTGTTATCGCCACCACTATACAGCCCTCCGGTTCCTTTTTTCTTAAAAGCATGTTCCACTGCTACCTTACTAATGCAGAGTGTTTTTATGAAAAAAAGTACCCTGACTTTGCTTTCGGCATTAAAGCAAGAAAGTAAGCTCTTTTTTCCTTTAGTTTTTTTGTCTACGTCTCTCGGAAACGCGACACTGTGCATTTAAAGCGGCATCTGAAGCAATCTATGTCTTTGGGCTTTTTCATTTCAATTTTTTAACGTTTTAATTTTTTTCTATTCCACTTACTTCGATTTGAACTTCCCCATCTGCTTCTTTTTTTAGTTTTAATATACAATTCATTAATGTTCATAATGGTCTGAAGGAAATAAACGAAATTATTTTTTATATATTTTTGCTTGTAATTTAAATAAATTGTTTTTATTTATTTTTGTTTTAAACTTTCAAGAATGAAATATTTTTATTTATTTTTTTTTATTTTTTGTTTTGTATGAGAAAAAAATTAACTTTAACTCTGATTGTTCTGCAATTTTTAATGTTTTCTCCTGCTAAAGGTAGATTTGCAGTTGGCAACCGTATTATTAAGCCATCTTGATCTTACCTATATCAGAAGATTCTTGCCAAGACTTACGGAGCCAATCTTGTCTCTACGTTGGGCTGCCTTCTCTCGTATTAAATATATTGGCCCAGGCCTCAGCCACCCACTGAGCAAAAAAACGTAAAATTTATGTAAAATTAACGTCAAAGGTTGTAGTGTGACGTATACGAATCTTGTAAAATAAACGTCACATAAACGTCGCTGTGATGTGCCTATGTCCGGATCCTGGGACTTGAATTAGCCCTAACCGTTACGTGGATAAGGAGACGTAAAAATTCCGTTTTTAAAAGGACGTAAAAATTCCGTTTTTAAAAGGACGTAAAAATTCCGTTTTTAAAAGGACGTAAAAATTCCGTTTTTAAAAGGACGTAAAAATTACGTTCTTAAAAGGACGTAAAAATGTCATTTTAATATGGACGTATAGGTTTTGTTTCAACTTGTACGTATTAGTTACGTTTTTTTTTTAAATAAAACTACCACTTTGGAAATAATTTTTTTTTATTAAAATAAATTATAAAAATAAAACAGTCTTGTAAAAATAATAAAAATAAAACATTATGACTCTGGTAAAAATAATAGAAATAAAACATTATATGATCATACTCCAAATTTGTCCAAAAAACGTTTTGAACGTTGCTTGGCAGTTCGGAACCACTCCTTACTTTCTTTATCAAAATCACATTCACTCAAATGAAATAATTTCATACTGGCTTCTAAAACAAACATCAATAACTTAAGTTATCTAATTAGGTATATTACTGTTGTAAATTACCTTTTACAACTTTAACAACAAGCAAATCTTTAATTTTTTTGTTTTCTTTAGCCCCTGTCCAAGAGCATTGCTTTTCTAGGACAGTAGAGAATAGTTTTCTATAGCATTGTCTAATAAATTTTCTTCCATTTTCACCGCCCAACTTTAAAAGCATTTGCATCTAAAACAAATGTTCATGTTAAAATGAAATTTAAATGTAAATAACCTTGAAAGTTCACAAAATTTAACTTTTATGAAATAAATTATGAATTATAAATAAAATTAAACCGCGCTTGTGCCAACAATTTTTCTCTGTCCATTTTATAAGGTTATGATTAATAACACTAGTCAACAACAAAAAAAGGTCGGTAATAAAAATAGCTTAGTCCTATAGATTTTGACCTAATCGACGCAATTTCGTCGCCCAAAATATTTTCCGAGGTCAGGTTTAGACGATACGGACAGCACCCATGATACAAAGAAAAATTGTTAAATAATAAATTGAACGATTAAAATCAGAAAACAAAATAATTTGAACGATAAAAAACAGTAAACACCATAAAAACATGCGTTAAATACCAAAGAATAAACCAAAACATACGGAAAATAAGTACCTGGTTTGGTGCTATTTTAACCGTCGTATTGTTTAGTTAGTTATAAGTTAATTAGATTTAATATTAGAATAATCGTTTGGTAGTAATTTTAATAACAGATATGTTATTCATAGAATGCCAAAATATAAGTTAAAAATAACTTCATCCTAAAATG